TGTGTGTGTGTGTGTGTGTGTGTGTGTGTGTGTGTGTGTGTGTGTGTGTGTTTGTATATTTGATAAAACGTTTGCTCGTTCTTGTACGTATAGGTATGTGTTTGATTGTGATGTAGACTGACTAACAAATAGACTGAAAGACAGGCACACTTTCAAAGAGACGACGGAAAGAGAAACAGAAAGACTGGCAGATATACAGATGGCCAGATAGACATTTAAAGAGATAAATAGATACTTAGATGCTCTACTGGCGATAAAAAGGTACAATTTGTTGATTGCTTTAAAAGAAATCTAGATCTAGTCTTTTGAATCTTCACGCTTTTTCTTTCAAATGAGTAACACAAAGTGCTATAAAAGTAGGTCAAGTTATAAAAACAACAGGGCCAACCAGGGCTCAGAAGGATGCAACATCCAAACAGAAAGGCCGAGATACTCTATAAAAATATACTCCCGACTCGGGAATCGAACTCCCGTCTTTTGCGTACGACAGCAAAGTGCCTAATAGCAACACGCCGGTGCCGATTAATTAAATACAGCTCAAATAGACATAATATAATATACTCAAATGCAATCGTCATCATCATTGCTAGCATGCTTATCTCACCCTGGATCTGGATATAGGCCTCCAACAAATACCTTTCACTTTTCCCTGTCTAGGGCTAGCTTCTTGACATTATTCCATGTCTTTTCACCTTTCTGTCCATCGTTCCTTGTGACTCTTTACAAGGTTCCACTTCGCTTTCCCCTTGATCCTTTACCATATTGATTCAAATCCCGCATGTTCTTTGTTAAGTTTCTGCATGGCTTCAACTCCCACAATACTCTACTATTATTTTGTGTCAAGTGCTCTCTTAAAGAATGCTTTGTGGGTGGTTGGTGTGAGCTCTAGTATGGTTTGCTCCTTCATTCCCATTGAACATCTACCATCTGTAATCTGTATTCCTTCTTTTCTTTATACGTTATTTTCAAATAACACCTCTAATCTATGGCGCTTACATGAATTAAGTGTGTTTAACGTGCCGTAAAACTCGGACTAAAACTAAACTAAAAAATTACTTTTATTATTGTGAATTGGAAAATCAAAATTGATGATTTTATTTCGTGGGTGGTTTGCGGGTGCCCTGGTGTGGTTTGTTCCTTATTTCCTATTAAACACGTTCTTATCTCTCCTCCTTTTTTGTATTTGTTGCTCTCTTGTAACGCCTCTAATCTTCGACACTTATATTACCTCTTTATGTTTCAAGTGCAATGAAACTCTTACTAAAAGTAAACTAATGAATGGTTTTCATTTTTGTGAATAAGCAAATTAAAATTAATTATTTTTATTCCAGAAACGACGCAGTCTTCAGAGTCATTCTCGGACGTGAAATAACTCAAGACAAGTAACCATGTGGCCCTCTTTGAGAATTCTGTCTAATCACTGACCATCTAAATGCCTTTATGAATGACGACTGATTAAAGAAGAAATACCTGGGAGGAGAGCTGCTCGTGATGTCAGTATCAACTTTTATCACAACCGTCAGAACGCTCCAGAATGGGAGACCAGGAAGGACGTGAAGTTATACCTTTCAGTGTGTTACGTCAAACTACCGTCCTCTCTATGACGTTGTGGTTCAATTCATATTCGCGACTTACGGTTTGTGAGTGACGTCATATAACTATTCTCCCAATGACTTCGTGGTTCAGCTCATATTCGCGCCTTATGACCCGTGGGTGATGTAATTGAAAAGTGCTCACAATGTGATGACAGCCTCAAATATAACACGAGTTCCAGTGACGTAGCACACACAATGTAATATCAGCCTCAAACACTGCACGAGTTCGATTGACGTAGAGCCCACAATGTGACTGCAGCTCGGGTGCACAGGAGCGCCTGGACGCTTGTCTTTGTACTGTGGGCGAATCATAAGGACAGCAGATGCTGATTTGGACGTACATCTCAAATAACCTGAAGCGTGGGTTTAACGATAAACGTACACAATAAATTAATTCAAACACAACAAGAAAAAGAAAGAAACAAACAAACAAAAACAACACATATCTGCACACACTTTCACGGCCCTGGCTCCACGAAGGGGGTGTGTGAGTACCCAGGTGTGTGTTTGTGTGTCTCCCAGTGTGTAATATTGGCGTGTGTGTCCGCGCTAGCGGCAGCGTCTAATGCAATCTCTGCGGGAGTTCTCGGCCAACAAGAGCTGCCCGGAGCTGTCCCAGGACTCGAGACTCTGTCCCGACGTACAACACACGAGCTCCCTCTCCCACTCTCTCTCCCACTCTATCTCTGGCTCCCTCTCCGACTCTCCCTCCCACTCCCACTCCCACACCCGTACCCACAGCCTCGACTCCGCCTCGGAGCAGATCTACCTCCGTACCAGTTCCCTCCCCCTGCTCAGTCAGGATGAGTTCGCGGAGAGCAGTCATGACGTCACCACCGATAGCCCCGCCCATAACATGACCACCACCACGGAGGATGACGTCATTGAGATCTTGTCGTGCCATGTGGAGCCGGAGGAGGATACGGCCTCCGGCCCCGCTCTCATGGCTGTCAAAAGTGAGTCGGACAAGGCTGTTTGTTTATGTTGCTGCTGTTGTTGTTTTTGCAAAACGTCAAATTTTGTGAATGTTAAAAACAAAGCAAGAAAGTAAATATGGCAATGCTGTTTGTTTATGCTGCTGCTGCTGCTGTTTCAGAAAACATCAGATTTCATAAACGTGGAAAAACAAAACGAAACTAAATAAAAAACTGTTTAAAAAGTAGGAAATGAAATCAAATAGTTTCTCGCTATGGAAAATATATATGTTGTTAAAGCTAAAAACAGAACAAAAAACCCCCCAAAAAACCCCTCCAACCCCCCGCCTAAACCCCCCCCAAAAAAAACAACCAATAAAAAAAAAAAAGAAAAAAAAAGAAACGAACGGAGAAATACAGTTATGCTGTTAATGACCAACTAATACTTTGGAATTCATTATAGTTATAAGACCCCTTGAAACAGCTGTAGAGGCTATCACTGCTAGATGCTAGGATCGAGCCAAAAAATAGGGAACCCTTAGAAACTTCTCAATCGAACCAGTTTCGATAGTGCGCCAATGAGGATGGCGCGCTACCTTCTTGATAATAATATTACTCAGATGAAGTATCTCAAGGTTGTCTAAGCGCGGGGTGGATTGTGGTTAGCGGGTGTTCTGGTGTGGTTTGCTCCTTCTTTTCTGTCATACATCTATCGTCCTTATCTCTTCTCCTTTTATGTGTTTGCCAATATTTTGTATAGATGACCTTGCTATGTTGCAAAGGCCGTTAAAGTCTTACTGAAACTAAATTGAAAGATCAGGGTGTTGGATACAAATAGTACACCGGCTTCTGTCGCACACAGGAGACCCGAGTTCGATTCACGAGCGGGAAGAATAAGCATTTTTTAAAAAATAGAGCGTCTCAGTCTTTCTGCTCTGACGTTGTGTGACTCTCCGCCTGGGTTGACTCTGTCATGCAGGGTCAAATCTCGTCTGAATTGGTGAAATTGTATAGGTTTAACGCCCTTATCAACACTGTTATTTAAGAGGCGGGACCTCCGAGTTTAGCGTGCCTCTCCGAAAGGACAGAGCCAAGTGGGAAATTCACGTAAAGTGCTTTTCCCAAGAACACAACGTTGGACCGAATTGAGGCTCGAATCCCAGAACTCGCAATCTCACGATTACGATTTCCGCAGTCTTGCCACTTAGCTACCGATACCACTTCGAATCTCGTCTCTTAAATGATCTAAACTTTGTAGGTGGGGTGTAACACAGTCAGATTATTTACATGTTTAAACCGACATTCATTTAATGAGCCACGAATTTCTTTAGGACCTACATGTATTTCTTTCAACACACAATGTTTGTTGTGGGTGTTTCACCTGGAATGGGTTTTGTTGTTGTTGTCGTTGTCGTTGTTGTTGATGATGAGGACGTTGTTGTTGTTGTTGTTGTTGTTGTTGTTGTTGTTGATGAGGCCGTTGTTGTTGTTGTTGTTGTTGTTGATGTTGATGATGACGTTGTTGTTGTTCTTGTTTTGACCAGCCTCAAACAGAACAAGGCCATTTCATGAAAAATAAAACAGAGACTGAATTTGTCATTTCCTGTCTGTTCCTCTAAACTCTCTACTTAAAGAAAAAAGCAACACAAAAAACCCCCAAATACCAAACGAAACAAAATCTCTTTTTCTCAACTCACCCCCCCCCCCTAGTCCCTCCAGTCCCCAGCATAGTGGAGACGCCTTCAGACGCCCACAGACGCCGTGTAGCCCGAGCGATAGGAGTGGTCACTTTTCTCCTGCTTCTGTTCAGCATCATCCTCATCGGGATCTCTCTCAACATGAGCAAGGACATCGACGAAATGGGTGAGCACACTCACAGACATATTTGTACAAGCAGCTACACACAGAATACGTTATGCATACATACACACAGACACACACTCACACACATACACTCACACATACGCACACACATACACACACATACACACTCATACACACATACACACACACACACACACACACACACAGCCACAATAATACCGTCTATGTTTGGCGATGACTAACAAAAACGGCCATACATGAATATATTATATAAAATAAATGGATTATATCCACTACTGAAAGTGTAACAACAACATAACACCTTACTAAAGAAAATTGGATGACTAAAATGGAAAGCTGTGTTTAGCATCTTAGAGCACAACTAGATCTGGTGAGAGTCTAATAAATATAATTTGCATGTAAAATTTCAGATTAATGTTATGAAAAAAAGAACAATCAACATTTGCCGGTTGTTACAATTACACATGCTTACAGAGTGAATGAATTGAATCCAACACTAAGAGTGTAACAACCGACGCAACAACTTACTAAAAAGATTATATCAGAAATAGAAAGCTATTTCTAGCATACAACTAGTCTTGTTTAGAGTTTTAACATGTACAAGTTGCTTGTAAGATTACAGACCAAGGTTGTAAAAGATTATCTGTCGGTCGTTATAATTCGATATACATACAATATTATAATATTATCGCTTATATCCAGCTCCAAGAGTATAACAACCAACATAACAACTTCCTAAAGAAATTTTTCTAAGAAAAATGTTCAGCTTTTTGCGGCATCTCAGGTTACAATTGGTTAGAGTTTTAATATGTACAAATGTACAAGCCTCATATGAAATTGTAGACCAAGGTTGTACAAAAATGACCTGTGGTTGTTACACTTAGATATTCATATTATGAAATAAATGGATTATATACAACATTGAAAATGTAACTACCAAGATAACAAATTATTTAAGTAATTTGGAGGACAAAAATGAAAAGCAGTTTTCAGCATCTCAGGTCACAAGTTGGTTTGGTTAAAGCCTATTGTGAACATGCCGCTTGTATAAAATTGTAGACCGTGGTTGTAAAAAGCAAAAAAAATATGTCGGTCCTTACAATTAGACATACATATTATAAATGGATTATATGTAGCACTAAAAATGTAACAGCATCACAATTAGGCTTGGGGGTGAGAGTTTAATTTTAAGCGTCAAATTGAAAAAAAATAATAAAGGTCAATTTGTTTCGAGCCTTTGACACATTTTGCAGTGCGTCTGTGCCAGTAATGTGTAGTGTGTAACTCAGTTCTTGCAAACAGTAGAGCTAGAACTCTGTCATTCTAATGGGGCGAAAGTTTAAAACCATTCGAGCGAAACAAAAACCAGGGTTTGCTTTATTGTTGTTTTTTTGTTCCTGTGGCTTTTCGATATGTATGCTAAGGACATGAATTTGGAACAATATTACAAGAAAGTGTGTGTGTGTGTGTGTGTGTGTGTGTGTGTGTGTGTGTGTGTGTGTGTG